CCCACTTTGGGGGCTGGGATAGCCACACTCTCTGTAATGGTTGATATATCGTGTCAATTTGAGAGTCTAGAAGTAACTAAACAACCCAGCAGTTCTACATCCTAAGGTGTACAGGACATGCCCTAGGGCAGCTGTTTAAGCTCCAGGATGTTGTAACGGTTAATTCATTGTGTCAATTTGAGAAGTTTAGAAGTTTAACTAAGTGACTCAACAGGGGGCCAGGATCCTCACTTTGTAAACATCCTGAGCCTGTGTGAGAGGAAGAGGTCCCTGAAGATGGTATGAGTGCTACACCCACCCTAGGGCAGGTAGCTTGCATACAGTATAAGGGAAGAAAAGAGGCTTGATTGCCCCCTTTGTGCTCGTGCTGCTTTTACTGTCTTCCACTGCCTTGAACAGTTGCCCCTCAGCCATGCCACCCTGCCTTGAAACCAACTGATTATGGACCGAAACCTCCACAAACTGGGCTAAATAAACCCCTCCTCCTTAACTTTGGGTGTTGGATATTTTGTCCCAGCAATGCATGAAAGTAACTAAGACACTCTCCATCCATCTCTTGTCACTAGTTCTCTCTGCGTGGTTCTGTTTTGTCCTCTCTACAGTCAGCTTCCACTTACTTGTGGTTCTGCTCCACCACAATCTTAGCTTTCATCTGACTCTGGCCTGCCAAGTTGCTGACTCAGGCCTCTACTCCGCACGACACTTTAGCTGGGCTTGCTGCACTCAACTGCCTACACTTCCTGTCTCTGAATCAGATTCCAGACAGAGACAATTGGGTGGGTCTCTGGGCAGCCAATGGAACAGGTGGCTTGAGGAATGTTCATGTCCCAGGCACTGGGTGGGAAGCTGGGTTCACCTTAGTAATGTGTAGGCTACAAAAGAGAAAACCTAACTCAGGTATAGTGGTGTGCACCTATAACCCCAATACTCTCTATCCATATAACCCCAATACTTTCCATCCAATATTCTGGGAGGAATGTAAGTTTGTGGCAAGAATCAGATCACCCCTAATTTCCAGGGCCCACAAATATTGTACTGCATCCAATAGAGTGCAGTAGGGGAAGAGGAGGGGAAGAAGCTTATTATAGGAGATAAGAAGCAGGGACTTGAGAACCGTCCTCCAAAGTGACACAGTGTGTACAGAATGGTAGATAGCAGCAGACAATGGTAGATTCCACACAGACAACAAGGTAAGATGTAGGATGCTACAGGGCATATTTGGAGAACACCAGTCTTGCATGGCTAGAAGATGGAGCCTAGGGAGCAGAGAGGGGTGGGAAGGAAGGTGACTGGATACAAATCAGGGAACATAGGCTGAGGAACCTTGACTTAAAGATAATTCCAAATGAAAAAGACACCTCTAATCATGACACGGAACTTCAAAGCCAATCTACTAATCACTGACATTCAAAAGCACTAAGGAGCAATGTTGTGCCCAATAATTTGGTTTTAATAATAGACTTGAAGTCAATGAGGAATACCCTTGGAAGACCACATCCCTGCCTTCAAAAACACCACGCATAACACTCGGGAGGAGAGAAACGGAGCATCCCAGGTAAAAGCAATAGGTTAGCAGTACCATTTTCTAACCAAGACCAAGGCCCTTGCTTGCCAAAAATGTCTCTCAAACAACTTTACCAATCCCACATGTGACCTGACCCCCAATAATGGTCTCTCTCTCTACACTCCCTTGCACAAGTAACGATAAAAATGTTGTGCCCGTCAACCAGCACATTTAATTCAGCAGCAGCACATTAATCTGCCTCTCATTTTCCTACCACTTTCCTGAAATTCCAGAGGAAGGGGCTATTGTTAAACAGCAGCAAGCGTTATTCTCACAGCAGTGCACATTAATAATAATTCAGCTTGGTGTCACGGAAGCCTGTAGGCTCTTAGCTGAATTTATTTGAAAAATAAAGTTTGTTTTTTTTTCCCTGAAGATCTTTACTTAAGTCAGCATGGAACTCCTGTAAAGATAACTACCAATAAGTCACAACTACCCAAGGAGCAGTCCTGTTATTTTTTTAATTCACCACTCACCATGACAACATAATAAACACACCTTTAGAGGCTCATGCATGCCCAACTATTGAAAATGTCATGGCTTCTCCTTCATGGTGCTCCCAGGCATACAGTTCAACTCCTTTTTTTTTTAATTCTCTGAAATTCTAGTAAAACATCAATTTGCAACTGTGAGGTGCTACTAAGAATTTTGTGATAAGTTAGCAAAACAAGCCTTCTTTTATAATCCACTAGTAATAAGTGGGTTTATGTTAATTTCTTTAAAAAAACAGCAAACCATCAAGTCAATAGGGTGTGGACATCTGTTTTTTTAGTTTTTGTTTGGAGGATATAGATGTTCCTGTACCCTTTCATAAATGACTAATAGGAAAGATACAAGACTAATAGGAAACACAGCTTTATGCAACTTGGTCAACTGTTGGCTCCAGTTAACAGCTGGTCTTTAAACTACCCAACATAAAAGCATACATTTTAGGGGAGAAAAACTGACCCCAAAACTGCTTCATAAAATAAAGTATTTCATTTTTCAAAGCTACGGGATTATTTGAGAGGTTATAGTACTAAAAGGCCCCAAGAGTTCTGTTGTGTCTTTTTTTTTAAAGAAGGAAAGTTAAAAGTTTCCACCTTAAGTATCAGAGACTAGAGATTTTACAATACAGTAAGTGTCAAAAATAAAATGTAATTCCTTCCAAAGTCATATAAAAAAGTAAGCCTCTGTAAAGGAATTTTTCTTTCCAACTGTGAAGTAGGAACCTAAAATCACAGCAAACAGTTATGACGTTCTTTTCTGCAACAGTGTCCAGACAGCCAAATTAGCCCAAACTTCAGCGTCCTATGTGCCTGAGTTGCTAGCAATGCCCACCTCCGCCACCCAACAGCTAATTTCTCCTTTTGGTCAAGGAAGACCGTAAGAAACACACCATGAAACATAATGCCAAGCTTGCCGCCATCCAAGTTAGACATGGCAATTCACACCTGTATTAGTCCCAGCCTCTCGGGAGGCTGAAGCAGAAGGATCACTGGAGCTCAGGAGTTCAAGACCGGCCTATGCAACATAGCAAGCACTCAACTTCCTACTGTCTTTCAGACTGATGCAGTCCCTTCCCAAAATACATGAAAGGTGTGACTCCTTTATTCAAACAGTTGTTCTTTTTTTTTTTTTCTTTTTATCCGATATTTTCTACAGCAATGGATTTCTTTTAAATGCAGAGATGGGCATGGAGAATAACTTTGCTCTGAGAAATGCTAGGTGGGTCCTAGAAGAATGTCTAATGGTCAGTACACTCAGAGAATAAAAACCTAGCCTGGCTAGAAGCTCCTTACTCGGGTTCATCGCTATGAAACCTGCCAAGTCCTCACATACCAGAGGTGGTTTGCTTTCTCTCCAGCAGGGATAATGGGTTTTTCAGCACTTTTGCCAAATTACTGACAGAAGGACCTATTTCTCTTTCCTGTGAAAAAGGAACCGGTAGTGACAGAAGCATGAGAATAACTTTAACCACTAAATTATACATTGCAAAGGATGGACGGATAAATGAAACTCCCCCATAATACCATTCCGAATTCTTTCCCAGCTAAAAGACTAGCCAAAAGGTCACAAAAGTGCCTGACCTGAATTTTTTTCTTTCCCACATTTGTCGTGGCCTCTGCCTTACTACTATCTTTTGAACATACTATTTTTTCATTAATACATCATTAAGGAGCAGAGTAAATTATTGTGGAATTGGGAAATATCAAGAGATTTTACTTGGGCACTCTTGTCTTTTTCTGAGACTAAATTAATCACATAACTTGCTCTATTAGGAAGAACATTCACAATTTAACATTTGTGTTAGTTGTCCTCTAAGCACAAACACTCCCATTGTCTCTGGTTCCAAATCACTGACATTTTTCCCAGGAATCTTTGTGCCTGACACAGTGCCACACACAGGTGGGTGCTTAATAAATACTGTTGGATGATGGATGTGCTCAATTATAAAATATTCAAAAATGCTCCATTTTTCTGTCTCCCAAACAGCAAAACTGTTGTAGCCTTTTATGTCCAGCTTAGCTCAATGCCTGACTAATTCACTTCAAAAACCCACAAACGAGTAATCAAAGCTCAGAAACAACTTTAAAGCATCTGTGTATCATACTCGCCTGCCTAGAACACAAAATTAAAATCAAATACAAAGCGAATTGAAAAAAAAAAAAAAAAGCAGCCTGAAACTGGTTTGGCTTTTCAGCATCAAAATTCAGACAAGACATTCTTTGCTATAACAAGAAAACTGAGATTCAAAATCCAAATGTTATGATTTTTTTACTAAACAAAATGAACCAAAACATAAAAATTCATATTATTTAACATTCTCATCCACTCTCTTCCAAAATGAAAGAGTACAACACACACACACACACAAGAATTACTCAGAGTAAGCCAGGAATTCATACTATAAATGTGTTGGCAGCTAACTCCCGTGTGTTGGAGATAAACACTATTCACAACCAGGTGTTCCAGGTGGACCAGCAAAGTTTCACGTTAACAATTTATCGCTAAGGTGGTGCCAGCTGCCAGCAGAGAAGCTGGTGTGCCTAGGTTTAGAGAACAGGGGACGGAGAATGTGTCTTGCTTTAGAACAAAAGAATTTCGTTTTATCACTTGCCTTTACCGCTGGAGAAAATGGCTTCTGGTGTGTGGAACTCCATGATAAATGTGCCCCCTCTAGTTCTTTATTGCCTCTGTAAATCACAGGACTGACAGCAGTTAATAAGAAAAGCTTTTGAGTGGTTTTGAAGTTTTGCTTTGTACAAATAAAGTCTCATATTAAAGATTTTGCTAGTCTTCAAGGTGTAGAAAAAGCAGCACGCATAGACCTTCCATACTTTTAACTGTTTGTCTCCTTTTTCCAATTTTCAAAGCAGGAAAGAAAGAAACATTTCAGATATGCACATTGAAAAAGTAAAACCAGATCATAGTTTAAACAGCTTTGTATACTCACAGCATCACGGCTTCTATTGAAATTACCATCTCTTCTGGTTTTTGTAATCTGGATATAGATAGCACAAGAGATATGTGGTGGAAAGAAAACTGTTACAGTAGACCTATTATTACATTTCTGACCATAATTGCATGCTTTACCTCATTTAGCCAAAGAAAATTTTGGTTCAGTATCAAGAAAGAGAATTGAAAAAAAAAAAAATCCTTGGAATCGATTGGCTGCCAGTTCATCCCTAGGTCCTGGGATCCTAAAATTCTGAAATCATATTTCAGAGTCTAATTGACATAGCTCAGCGGCACAGCACCTGCCTGGCAAGTACAAGGTGCTGAGTTCGATCCCCCGTACCAAAAAAAATAAACAATGCGATAGCAGTCTTCTCCAAGGAGCTCTGAATACTTTGCCACAACCATACTAAAATCCTAAAGGGGAAGCTTTGGTATTTGTAATTTCTTGGAGACAAAGCTGAGGCTCAAAAAGCAAAGAAGGTCTTTTCTAAAAGCCAACAATGGGACTACACCTACATTCCTTCTCATAAGATCCCACTTATTTTACAATCCAGAAAAAAAACGAAAACTTTCAATGCACTTTCCTGACCAGATCTCCATAGCAGCGTCAAGAACGGTTAGGAACCCATGCATATTGGCTGAATAGTTGTCTGTACACCAGAAATCAGCCAGCAAGCTGAGGCTTAATTTCATTTTGTCCCAAGCAATAAGAGCTTTTAAAAATCAGACTTTCAGATGACCCACTTGTAGCCAAGTCTGCTCCTTTGTAGGAATAATGTCAAAGGGGCAAGACCTTAGCTAACGCTAACATAGCATCCTGACTAAGTATACATTTCATAGTGGTATGTATCCAAGACCTGCTTGAACATTAGGATTTCATTAAGTGACATTCTACTGAAATTAGAATTAATGTTCCAGTGGTTTTGTTTCCTTTCCGTGGTTTGCTTTATCCTAGTCTAACTCTGACCAGTTCTTTCCAAAGCAGATTTGCATAGCCCAAAGCCTTCACTGTGGACAAGAATGAATGGGATTCTCCTAGGTCCCCCTCAGCATCACCTGAGGCCACTAGCAAAGCTTTAGTAGCTAAAATTCAGTGTCAGTTCTTGAAATACCGCAGGAAAAAGATAGGAATAAGGCTGTCTCTCCCCACCATCTCCCTCCCTCCAGACATTATTCCCAGAAGGCCCAAACTCAACATATGCCGTGACTTTTGATGTGGCATTGCTCTGGCGGGAAAATCCAGGCTCTGTCTGGCTTATCAGGATAAATTTCTTTGGCCCTCTGATTGAGTTCACTCATAGAAATTTGGCCACAGTCCCTAGAGGTAAAGTATATATGCTGGAAAAGTCAGGTCTGTCCAAATGTCATGCAGGCATGGTCAAGTAAGAGTCCAGAAGACCATCCCAGTGGATAGATAGCACACTTGACATTCAAGAAACTGATAAGATCAAGCGGGCACCAGATGATAGATAGAGAGATGGTGAATCCACGGGTTTCATCGGATTTCCTGGGGTTTAAAACAATAAGACCTATGTCCAAAGGACCAGAAATTCTAGCACTGGACAGAGCCGGGTACAAATCCAAGTTCAGCCACTTTCTGGCTTTGTTACCTCGTAAATAATTTAATATATCTGAGTCTCTTTAAACCTATTTTATAGGATCGGTATATGATAAGGTTTTCAAGTGCTCTGTAAAAATGGAGACAGGTGAATCACTCATTTGTTTGTTCAGTAAACATGTGCCAGGAAGAGTGCTTTCCATATGTTATTTCATTTAATCCTTGCAGTGATTGTATGAATGGCCTTTACATAAAGCAGATGCAGTCCGGGGGACATTTGTTAAAAGATCCCAATACAAAAGCATCAGGGTAGAAAGAAGGGAAGGGCCATGGGATGCAGCCAGAGGAACAGCGTGTAACCTGCAGTCACCGTTCTCACAGGAGGACCCACAAGTGGCTCTGAAGATTGGCACTGAGCATCTGTCAAGCCCAGAGACCACCAAATACAAGTCAGGATACGGCCCCCCCAAGAAAGACTTCCCTGTCCTTTGTCCTCCTTCCTCCTCCAAGCCTGAACTCTGCAGTGGGATGGACAGGGAGAAGAAATGGAAAGTCATCTGTCCACACCCCTAAGGACAGGCTCCTCAGCTTGAGGCAATAGCAAACTAAAGAAAAGACTAGCTTCTATCTGAATAGACATTGGAATATTACACTGACCTGGCCATCTGCATTCCTGATATTAGACTGTCCTTATGGTTGTAAGTAACTACACTACAGTTTCTTTTTTTTTTTTTTTTTGGCTTTTTTTCTGGTACCGGGAATCGAACTCACAACCTTGCGCTTGCCAGGCAAGCACTATGCCGCTGAGCTAAATCCCCAGCCCCTACAGTACAGTTTCAAAAGTCTAAGAGTGGCTGGAAAAGAAATGAATGGGTTTGACAAGAAGGGAGAGAACCCTTTGCATCCACTGGAGTTCTGCCATTTCTGCCTACTGTTACCTGCCTACCATTTCTGCCTGCCATTACCTGTAATATAAAATGTACCCACCCAGGAAATCCTGGGAAACTAGAAAATGAAGAAGAAGAACGTGCACAGTTGCCGCTCAAATGAAAAAGAAAGTTTGCAATTGCCAGCCGGGCGTGGTTGCACACCTATAATCCCGGCACTCGGGGAGGCTGAAGCAGAAGGATGACGAATTCAAGCCCGGCCAAAGCAACTTAGCAAGACCCTATGTCAAAATAAAACATAAAAAAGCTAGAGATGTAGCTCCATGTGAGGGCCCTGGGTTCAATCTCCAGTACAACAAGAGAAACAAAGAAAGACAGAAAGAGACAGACAGACGAGAGAAAGAGAGAGGGAGAGGAAGAGAGAAAGAGAGAAAAAGTTGTTGCTAAATGTAAAGATGAATATTCTGTGTGCCCCAGAAATCTCTATGCAGGAAAACTGTAAATGAATCTCCAGAGCCAGATACGTCGCTCTACCGTAATGCACTGGAATTGGTCACTTGATCTGGATATACTGGGCAAGAAAAGAAAGGCCTGTAAAGCTCAACATGAAGTAGAAGATATGATTTAAATAAAGTGGACTACTTCCTCATTTATTCTAATTACACTGACAGTCACTTAGGTTATCCGGGACTCTCCTTGCTTGCCACACATACACAAAAGAAGCTTGCCATATAGTCTGAATTCACCAGGAAGACATCAACTCATCCCTTCCTTCATCTTGCATGGGTGCAACCAAAGATAAGAATAAAAGAGAGCAATCCAAATGCTCATGTGCTTTGCAAGGGGGTATAAGAATATCCAATAATAGCCCCCCAGAGCTTCAGGGGTATTGGTAACATCCAATATCTCAACCAGGAGGCAAACGCATTTCTTTCACTGTTGTTGCACATACATAACGGAGTACGTCAGACATTGTAACTAAAATAGGAAAACAGAGTACACCAGACCTTTATTTTGTTAAAACTCACTCGCAAATTTCCCAACGCAGAATACACCTTTGGGTTGCCCCTCACCAAGTGTGCAAGATCTATTTCAAATGACGCCTCCCTGAGTCCTCCCCTGACATTTCCCCCACCCACAGCTCCTGTTTATGCAGCCACAGCTCCCGATCCCTGTGCCAGCTCTTCCACGGGACACGCACTGGACACGCACTGGGTGAAAGCCAGAGGTCACCTTGGTGTTCTTTATTTATGCAAGAACTGCCACGGTGCCGTGCACATCACCAAGGTGTGCCCAAGACTGCTTGTATTATTTCTATGATAACACACTTACCTCATTTACAAAAGCAAAATCATCACTCTGGTTACCACTGAATCTGGTTTGCAGCCTCAAATAGATTAATTCTCTCCAGGTGCTTCTAACCTCACCAACATCCCGGAAACGATGCCTATCACCATTTTAACTAGTTTTCCTTCCTTGCCAGTGAATCATTGCCACAACCGTAGATATGAGCTCATTTGAAGGAATGAAAAAAGCGCTCCCTAAGATCATTGAATAGACCTGTGCATAATTATTAATTTCCTCTTGAAGCTAACATTTGCTAAAAGGAAAGATTCTATTAATGATCAAAACACTTGACTTTCTGGACCTATTCCATTTAATGAGGAAAACTCAGTACTCTGTTCCTGGGCTACTGCCAGGTGGTCTTTTACCGGGAATCACTCTAAACTTCTAATCACAGTTCAACAACCATCTGCCAAATCATATGCAGGTATTGATATTTGCCACTCTGCAGTTCAGTTACATCAAATATCAATGCAATCAACTCATTAGCGAGTTTGTATTGAGCTTTAGTGATCACTACCCACCTCTTTGATTAAGCAGTCTATGTACCATATTCCCTGTCTGTCTACGGGCTGATCAGCTCAGTAATACCATTAATATAAAATCAAATGAGCAGAAGAAGCAAGCGGTTTAAAAAAAAAAAAACCTGTGAGTTCCTCGGTTCCCTCTTCTGCAGAATATCAATATGCTATAATCTAGCAAGAAAAGCAAATGAAATTACAAAATTGCTTAGAGAATCATTTTAACCTAAAGTTACAAGAGGTCATTAAAAAGCTCTGTAATAGCCCTGGGATAGCATTTTTGCTATCATTCTTCCACCTTCCTTGCTACCAAGGATTTTAAATCTTCCTTGCCGATGTAAAACCCACACGCACACTTGGAGTGTAGCTGCCACACGCCGAATCTGAATGCGAGAGGTCAGCTTAGCTTACTGGTCTGCTGGCCCACTGCTCCAAATTTTATATCTCTTCTGTCCTTCAGTTATTGCCTGACATGATTTAACAACTGTAATTCCTTATTTAACGATGTCAAAGGTTTTTAGGAAATTGACTGTATTTCACCAACGATATATTTCTTCTTGATTACGGAGTGGTTAAAATGATTTTAAACCAAGACAGCAAAATAAAGCAGTAATAAAATCAATAAAAGGTGCTTAAAACATTCCTTCTATTAGGTAATGGCATTTAAAATATCCGTAGCTTGTAATGGCACTTAGGATATGCCCAAAAATCAATGAGCTAAATTACTTA